AAAAAGCACGCGGTGTGCTTTTTACCCTGTGCCGATGAAATCGATTCATTAAAGCAATAAGACCCGGGGATCGACGCGAGAGCCCCGTCTCTCCCTTTCTCGTTCTTGTTCGCTTTCTCGAACGAGTACCCTCTTAATCCGACTAATTGTTTACGTTACGACGAAGTCGCTACGTGAATTATAAACTATCCAAGTTTCTTCGTCTCTCCGGCCGGTTATTCGCGACTCCTCTCTAATCGTATCCTCTGCTTGGCAAAGAATGGCGGCCTGGTTTCGCTAATGAAGTTACTTCGTCGGACAAACCTTATGTACTCACAAAGTGAAAGAGGACGAAACTCGATCGAGGGCTTATTCTGCTGTATAATCGGACGAACAAATTGGGAAATTGATTTTCTGACGGACCGATGTCGAACGGATGATTGCGCCGCGCAGTAAGAAGTGGGACAATCTCTACGCTTAATTCGATTATTAATCCGGTAATTTAACCAGGGAGTAAAAGGAAGGAAAGAAACAGAGGATGATGACGATCAATTTAACTTTGTAAATTATGTTTGATCGTTCTTTCGCCTTACGCTGAACGATCAATGTAATCTCGTAAAAATTGTATATAGTTATTATCATTATTTTAATTACATGGTTATTTGAATCTAAGAATCATGAAATGTTGTTTAATTCAACACTTTGAGCATGTTGATGATTTCTTACAATTTCTTTGAATGGGTTGATATATTCGGAAAGTTATAGAATTTATATAAGCTACATAGATGTATTTCTTCTTTTATTTCAATTTATTCCAATTTTGAAAAATTTGGATATTTCGAGTTTAGTTTGAAACTTTGAAACAGTAATTGATAGAAAACAAGGTCATTTTTTTAAAATTAATTCTAACGATAAGAGATTTATCGCTTACAAAACAAGGAAAATGAATAAAATAGACGAAATTATTTTTTAGACTTCATTCTTTTAACGTGAAATCTTAATAAAATTTTTCTTTTAACACACATCCGTTTCCCCTACAATTTTGATAATTCTACCATTCTCTACTTTAATTAATTCACCTTTTTGAATTTCTTTTGTTATTACTTCGAGTAACGTTAAAACATGTTCAACAATTTTCCCGAAATTACAAGAAACTACAAGGCACACAAGTATGTAGAAACATTTCCTAATCGTATATTTAGCACCTAAGTACCATTATGAATCAAGTTTCTTAACAATTAAACGTGCACCTCCCACAGGTATTAATACCGTGCATCAAATTATACTGTAAGAAGATGTGAGTGCTCCGCAGTATACGGAACAGTCTTAAGCTGAAGTGCAACCAAGCGGGCAAATTTTAATCAGTGTGTAAGAGTCGCCCGGTTAAAGGGTAAAGAACAAAGGGTAATAATTAAGCGTGATGAAGTTGCACACCTATATTACAAAGTGTGCAAGCGCGCGTGTGTCTGTGTGTGTATGTGTATACTTTACATTTAACTTGGTTCCCTGTTATTTTCGCTCCCATTGGACAGGATGAACTTTTTTCTTGACCATGAACGGAATCACATTCGCGATCATGCAACGAACTTGTTCAAACTTACGATTAGACCGGGATTATACATTCAGTGAAAGTAAATTCCAAACAAATCTAGAAATGACATGATACTTAATGCAAGGATACATTTCGTGCGAATTGTAATAGTATTTAAATAATCACAATATTCAATAGGACCATTTTTGAAAGAAAATTTACGAGAGGGATGTTATGATAATAATCTGAAGTATATTTTACTCTCGTCAAGTACCTACAATTTTCTTTTTCGAAAATGTGATCTGTTTTCTTATGTACTTATCTCTCTATCTTAACTTTTCTTTCGTTATTACGTTTGCAATAAGTATCTTGTAACTTTCGATACTAGTAGAATCATGTCGTGTCAATAAAATTTCATAGTAGTAACACACATAATATATATGTATGATAAGTTTTTCAAATATTTTTTCGAGCCACCGTAGTTAACGTGGAAGGCTGGTGTGTCTCAGCCAGCCAGCATCGTGCCAGATAAGATAGATACGGAAAAGTTTCGAATGCTCCGGGTGTAATTAACTCGAGATTGATACGAATTAAATGCCGCCGCTGCCGTCGAGTCACTTACTTGTTTGCAAGTTAAGATCCACCTCGGGGTTCATTGGAATTTCCCGGTTACTGAACTCAGATGCTGACTCTTCGGTGGTATTTTCATAGGGATTCGCTGGAACAAGGAGACATGTCTTGCTAATTAAACCGTTGTAAGTCTTGCTTAATCTGCCTGACAACAAAGTCTTTTTCCTACCCTCTGATATCGCCGGTATTCAACAGCCGAAGATTACGCGTGCTTAAGCTAAGCTGTTTATAATATTCGCGCGTCAACGATCCTCTCATTTCTCCTGTTTGTTTGATTTATCGTCGGTTCGTCGACAGAGAAAAAGCTTAAGTGTACAAATATATTCTTCGCAGATGCATATATATTAGCGAAACTTAATTTTGATTCTTAAATGGTATTTATGAACAAATCGCGGATTTTTATACATGTTTATATTTGTTGAGAATGTAATTAAAAAAATAGAACTTTGGTAGAATATTGTTATAATGTATAAAGAGCACTATACGTATTCTCTATATTTTGTAATTCAAAATATTCTTTATAAATGCATAAAAACCCGTAGTTTAGTTATAAATTAATTAGTGAAATTGTGTTTGATTTTTTCCGTGATAGAAATTTTCGTTTCCCTAATTTCTTTCCTCCTGCGAAAGCATCAAGTTTACTTACACGTTCGACATTAAAAACATCCCAACTTTTTATTTTTATCAACGCCCAATCGGCAAGTACTGCGTTAACAGATCGATTATCCGTACTCCCAATTCGTCTTAACTCTCTATAGGAAAGATTCTTTTCGACGATCGACACGAGATCCCTGCGGGGGACGTTCGCAGTAACCTCGATTCAAGAGATCACGGCGTTAATTCGAACAGTCATTAGGATCGCGCGATGGGATTGGAATTCGCAACGAGAAAGATATTCGAGACAAAGATGTGGCAAATATCATGTATAAAAAAAAAAAAGAAAAAACAAAAAAAACCAGCACGTTGCAAACAGATAATCCCGATTGTCACTGCTAGCCTCTATTCGTTTCAACGCGACTTTGACGAGATGTCCGTGAAATTAAGCGAAAGTTGCCGTGATTTTTATTATCACGGTCTGTCTAATGATCGTACGAGCGCTCTCTAATTACGTAAAATCGTGTTGGTAGAGAGAGAGAAAGAGAGAAGATCACGAGAGCTTTCGTTTGATTAATTGAAACATTGCCTGGAGATCGGTCTCTGACGAAGCTGATTGGGGTGATCGATGAAAGAACGTGTCACGACGATAAAAGGCTTACTTCCTTCGAATGTCACTTCGCTGATCATGATCCATCGGCCAGCGAAATACAGATGCATCTTGACGAATCGTCCGTGGCGTTCGTGAAGCCCGATGGACACGTTCCTCGCGTTCTCCAGTACGATATCCGGTATGTAGGAGTAAGATAATGGTTCCTCCTCGTAGGTGGCGCCATCCACGCTGAACCAGACGTCCGCTTTCGAGAATACCTGCAGCATGGGAAATCTAAGATGCGATTGTGTCTAGTCTGTTACGTAAAATTTTCTTTGTTAGAATCGTATCAACCTTTGTGCAAATTTATATTTTTCTGAACACTATTAAGCAACTCTGGAGCCCGAACAGATTAATTAAATATGGCGTGGAATTGGAAATCGGACAGATGTTTCCAAGTACTCGTTATAATATTTAAAAAAGTACTTAAAATACTAAATTAACGAAAAGATTAAAGGACTTTAAAATACTGTGTTAGAGAATTAATTCTAAAATATTAAAAATTTAGTATTCTAAATAATATTTAGAAAGTGAAATGTTTTTTATGGCATTTAAAAATTTTATTTGGACTGCAAGTATTATGATATAACATCTTACAACATACAAGTTTACTATTATAATATAATATTATGATTTAAATATATATTAAGTATATAAATATATGATGCAAGTATATATCGTACATGTTACAATATAAATTTATCATTACTGTATTATAACAAGTACTTCACTTTTAGTATTTTATATGCTTTCGCACGTATTTCTTCTCATTTCTTCTAGATTTTTATTCATTTCTCAGTTGTTTAATTTCCTTTTTATCCATCTAATATTATAATTACATTGTGAATTGTTTCAATTAATTGAAATTAGGGTGTACACAACAGAATATCGAATATCTCAGGAGATTTTATTGAAAACGGTAAATTGGACTGTACAAGCAGAATAATCCACGAAAGACAATACATTTCGTTGGAAACGATAACGAACACAAAATTAGATAGTTAATTAATTCGAGAACATAATACATCGCGTAACTCGATAAATTTAATCGCATTCTCCATGGATGGTAACACGTATCGCGATGCTTCTATGCTCATGTCGGTGTTATAGTTTCAATTTCAGGGTTAGTTAAAATATCATTCGATCCAACGATGCAGTTTACATTAATTCTCGCGTAATGATATAACAATGTGACGTATTGTATGAAAGAAATTCGCGCGACGAGCGATCGGCCATTGAAGAAGAAAGAAATACACGGTTTAATAGACGTTAGTTGACGGACCACTCGAATCATCAAATCATCCCGCATATGCAATAACCGGTACTTAAGGCCGAATCTTCGCTTTTAATGGCGAAGCCTTTCATCATTCAGATGAAAGGAAATACCAGCGATTCGTCGTCGTGCGTTATTCGCATTGATATTTCAACGTCAAGTTCAAAGATGAGATTTTAAATTAATCGATTTTAAATTAATAATAAGAATCTGTGTTGACAACTTGGGACGAATACCATGAGAACGAGATCATGTGAAACGCTACGTTCTCACAATTGTTACAGTTCCCTTACAAACACGGATATAAAATTCGACACGATCGGAGTCGATCGATACATTTAATCGACCTTTAATCAGGATCAGCCGCGTAATCCGGTCGCAGGGAAAATATCAAGATCGTCTAACGAGCGTTGGTCATTAAAAGTTTTATCTTTCGCGTGGCTGGTTTACCGGAGGGGGGGATTCGCAAAGAGGGATGGGCGCATTAAAAAGATTACCCACCTGCACGTCGCGGGAGAAATAATTATTGGTGTAGATGTGCACCGCCTCGAAGATCCAGGCTACCTCGAATTCGAACACCAGCTCCACGTAATCGTCGACGAAGGTGTCGCGCATCCACGCGACCCATCCTGTACCTGAAAGCGAAGAAAAAAAAAAAAAAAAAAAAA